TCAGTGCAGCTAAATTTACGATGTAATCGTTTCTTCTTCACCTCGGTCTCCTTGCTCTGAGCCCCTCTTGAAGGAGAGGGGTGCAGCTTTGCCCGGTGGTGCTCTGGAATGGGTTAGCGGAGGGGGTGCTGTGAGGGGTAGGGGTTGAGCTGCAGCCCAGCACTGAGAGAGGAGTTTGGCGCAGCTCGAGCAGGAGCTCTAGCTCACTGGGCAGGCACGTTACTGCTGCCGCCGCATGCTTATGTTATTTTGAACCCTAGGTGTACATAGGCTGCTTAACACAATATAGTATTTTACTGCATAAATATGGTATTACAACAGTGAAATCAACGACTAGACCCATCCTTCAGTTCTGCAGTTTTCATGTTACCTCGACAGTCCTGCTGCAATTGCTTGTTGGGATTTCGCTGTCACTTGGAAGTTTGGAAGGCGTTAGTGGTGATTATTCACCTTCCCATGGCTACGCTTAATACGTGGGCACAGTATTGTGACAGTAGGTGGCTGCCTAATGTTTTTTCTGAATTTTTACTACCACTATCAAGAACAGGGAACCTGCAAAGAATCCTGGAATACTTGTAAGGCATCTAGTATAAGTGAAATGGCATTTCTTTTCTCACAAATGTCTCCAGAAAAAAGTAACATTGTTTTTAATGGAGACTGGCAGACTTCTGTGAGATGTCTGATAGCTCTTTCCTTTTGGACAGCCCATTGAATTGATCTTACTGAAACCTGTCACTAACCTGCTGCTCTGAGATGAAGAAAAAATAGGTAGTTATTTCCCTAGCAATCCAAATCTGACAAAGTAGATGTATAAAATGGGTTGTAATAAACGAGTTTAATGCCTGGATGACTTGGAGTAAAAGTAGCCTTAATTCTCTCCAAATCCAATACTGCTTCACTTCTTGCACTGTTTTCTATCCTTTAGCCTGTTCAGTCCACAGTGTGGTTATGAGGATTGGGAGGGAAAAAAAGCAAGACAAATCGCCTGCTTTCCTATACTGGGGGTATCGGGAGGCTTTAGGAATGGTGCATTTAGAGTTGTGGAGATACTTGCTTTTGATGAATGAAGCCAAATCTAGAGCTTAGGTAATTTTATACCCAGCGCAATGCTTACATTTGCCTGACCACATTTTTGTTCCCACTGAAAAGGGCTGAGTGGGTAGCTGGAAGAGCCAGGGATTTGCATAAGTATTTGTTACTGGAAGGGGGACTTTAACCAAAGTTTTCATTTCTGAAGCGAGCGAGTGAAGTCCATGCAGCTGTCGTCAGGATCACCTGTATAAGAGTGTGTGTTTTTGTGTTTTAACAGTCCGAATAGACTTTCTTAGGAAATGCAAGCAAGCCGGGCTTCTGGATGACATATTTGAAGAAATGCTGGACACGCTTCACCTGGCGCAGGAAAAACTGATGGACGACAACACTTCAGAAACAGGTATGGAGACCCATGGGGGACTCTGCTCGCAGAGCAGAAATGCTGATCTGAATGCCGGGCACTCGGCCCTGGGTCACCTTCCTGAGGATACTTCTGTAGTGCCAAATAACTGTCTTATTTCTGCAGCTGCACAGCAGGTGGAGAGTGAGTATTTTTTGGTATACCCGTGTCAGCAGAGGGGAAGAGCTGCCAATTCAGCATGCTCTAGTAAGGCCTTCTAACTTTGAATTTTTGAAGCCACCTTTTACCCGCTGGCATAAGCATAGGTAGGTTCAGCCAGACCTCTTCTCCCAGGCACTGAAGGAGAGAACGGTCCTGAAGAGAACCGGAAGGTTTTATTTGGATCGTAAGTCTGTGTTCTTACAGCTTCACAGAGGGACCAGCTGTCTGTTAATATCAGCACTCTCTTTTGAGGGGAAAATCCCCGAGTATGTACCTTTTAAATCCTTGGATGATTAGTTAGAACTTTTAATGTCAACTGTTAGTGCGTATTTGGCGGTTTTGTGGGTTTAAGTATCAGCTTGTATGAAGCACTTTGTTCTTGGAGGATTCCACTCTAATGTTGCTTTGTCCACGACGCAGTTAAAGAAAATTTCAAACCTTCCTCTTCTATTGTCCTCCCAGTTTTACAAAGTTATGAATAATACCTTTGGATAAAGAATGCTAATTTATGCAGAATAACTGAAGCACATGCATGGAAAGTGAAATGTCCCACCTGGCTAAACCTTCCTCACGAGCAGCTTGCGTGTAACATGACAGCAGCTGCTAGAAGCAGTAATGAAGTCCAGGACACATTAGGGGTTCAAAGGCCTTCATCATTAAGCAAATCTCTTAATAGTCATGCGAACTCTGTAGGTGTTTTGTGTTTTGTTTCATCGGAAGCCTCAATTATGAAACTGAAGCATAATTCTGGGCTGGTTTTTAACATCAAACAGTGACAGCACTGTCCCACCTGTCACGTGGTCTGTTAAGAGGAATTGGTATGGTCAGCCCTGCCGTTACACGTACAGTCCTGACGATAGAATGAAATATGACTTAAGCATATTGCTCATTTTTAAATGGACCGTTCACGTGGTGCAGACCCAAAAAGGGAATTACAGGTAGGTCCCCTTTCCTATTTTCTGTATGAAACTAAAAAAAAAAAAAAAAAAGTAGAATTGACAAATTGGTCCTTACTTCTCAATATAGACTGTATGAGAAGGAAGACATTTTAAAACCTGAAGCAACTGGTATCATATAAAATAAGTAATTACTCTTTTGTGCTACTTCTAATGTAGGGCTTTGCATTAACATGATGGTTCTGTAAACCTTTACTCAGTAATACTAAATCAAATTATCTCTTTCCCCAGAGTATGAAGAAACAGTGATGTCACTCTTTGACTGTGGACTGTTTGAAAATATACTGACAAATATTCATTCAGGTATGTGAAAAAAGCTGTCAGAGCAGCAGCAATTGGTATGGTTCTTGGCATTGAGGTTATTCTTCTAAGCATTTTGATAAAATGACCATTTAAAATGAAAATTCCAAGGAACTTTTTTCTCAGCACTATATAAATAATTGAATAAAAGCCATTGCTACCTGAATCTTTAGAAATACAGTGTGTCAAATCTGGCTGGCTGACTGAAGGGGAAGGCAAGTCACAGTTCCACAGCTCTCAAAGACCAAAGGGTCTCTGCCCCAGAGGAACTTCCCCCTCCTGCAGGCTGCACTCCTGTCCTCTTTCTGCAGGTTATTTCCCTTCTCCCCCGCAGCCTCCCTTCGGCAGCTTGCCTGCGTTACAGCTTTGCTCCTGTCCGACAAATGCTGTTCAGACTGGCTGCCGTGTTTCAGTTAAGAGCATTAAACACTATGAGCAGAACCTACCTGGACCTCATGGCAATTGTAATGTGCTCTGAAAAACAAGTTGAGAGTGCTCACAGAGTGAAACGAAAACAAGGGCAGGAGCAGTCGTTTGGGACCACCGCTGCAGAAGGAAACCCTGGGGCTTGGACTCCAGTCTCGGCTATTGTAAGCAACAAGGTTAAAACTGTTCTTCAGATAGGCAAGTCTCTTGCTCCCATTTCCCTCGCTAACAGTTAGCAACCTTGTTCTAACTTCTGCTTTAATTTATCCCTGTGAAAAGGGAAATGGGTTTTAATTAGCTAACGCTGAGGTTCAGTGTGTGTTTGCTGTTTCCCTGTTCCACCTTCACTCAACTGAAAAAGCCAGGCCCTCTCTTTAGTCTCCTCGCATTTAAATTCCTCTTTGGGAAATGGAAGTGACTGGTGTTGCAGAGTTATCAGACACAAGATTCCACCAGTGCCTCACCTCCGCTCGTAATTCCTCATGAGACACAACCTTGGATCGCACTTGTTTCTTTCACAGCTGCATCAATTATTTCATCCTCTTTCATCCTTTTCTCGGCTTACAGGAGAAATTCTTGATATTGGCACCTACGTACGCACAACCATGTGATGCTCATGTAAAAGTTGTCCCCTCTCCATTTCCCCACAACGTGAGCAGCTCAGTTCTTCCTGTACCACGCAATCTTCTTTTCTGATGCCATCAGCCTACTTTTAATTTCAGGGTCAATAATGAAAATCCATGTCAAGGTTGGTTCCAAAACTGATCCAAGAGGAGCTCTTAAAATGAACCAGTCAGAAAGGAATGATAAGCATGTTCATTACAAGTGGAACTGCAGGGAGGTAGTGAGGGAAGGAAATGGCTTTTCTTTTTTTTTTTTTTTTTTGTGTGTGTGTGTCCCAGTCTGTATTCCAAACTCTAGCTACTAAGTTCCTCTGACGGTGTATGAAGGACCAGTATAAACACTGTGTTTTATTTGATCTTTTTCCTGGAACTGGTGATTTTGGGTCATCTGAGATGCTTTACCTTCAATCCATTTTTTCATTTTATCTTTTTTTGACTTCTTGGATCATTGTGCAAAACCTGTACTAAAGCCTTGTGCATCAGCACAGCAGGGTTACTCTGAGCTGTAATTGTTGCTACTGCTTTTTTAGATCTCTTTTATATGTAGGGATAAATGGTTCTGTTGTAGCATGCAGCTTTACTGCAAACTTGACTGCATTTAAAACTTTTCATGTGGGACCTGCTATTGCCTCATCAGTGACTTCAAAATTCTAGGTTGGAGATTCTTGTTCTCTCTTCCAAGGAAAAGTGACTTCCTTCAGTTTTGCCTTCTGTTCCGTTGCCATGTGTCTTGCTTGAGGCGATACCTCCATCAGCTTTAACCTCCTCTTTCTGCTGGTCAGCAATCTGTCCAGCAGCTTTTGAGCTCCTTGGTAGCATTTGTTTTCAGGGGAGCTGGAGCAGTGAATTCTGCCATGTAGTTGTGCAGACAAAGGCGGCGATACTTTAACACTGTTGTGTGGTACCTTTGCTGAGAGCCCCTTAGCACCTGTCTTACGGAAGCGCGAGTGCCGTCATCTCAGGTCCACATTCCGCAGGCCATTCCCGATGTTACAGAAATACATACTCTTTAGAGGTAGAAGGTTCCCAATCTGTTACCTGCCTTCCTATGGAAGCGCTCCCAGAGGCCAGTCATTCCCATCACTGACATCTGTCTCTGGGCTATTTCTGTTTCTGCCACGTCCTTTTGGAAGAAGAGAAATGGAGCTGTATGTCTTCCATCTGTAGGTCGCCCGTATGCCAAACACAGTGACACAATTGTCACGTTTGCTCTTTGTTTTGTTTATTTCTGATAATTTATTAATTCGTATCCAAATATTCTCTAAGAGTTTTTTCTCCAGCTCCCACTCATACATGTCCAGCTGAACTAAGCATCAGTAGCCTCTGCAGTGTTAATGCGTATGTAACATGTATTTTAAACTAATAATAGTTACATATGAATAAAAGCTTTTATCCCTTTCTTTTTCATAATAGGAACAGAGGAAAAAATCCAGGAACTTATGGAAAGCAGGAAAAGATTAGATAACAAGATTGAGCTACTGCAGGACTTAAAAGAAGTCATCCTTCCTACCCAAGAGAACACCGCTAGTACATCTAGCACCATCTCTGAATAACCCCTCAGTCTGTCTGTAATGGTGTCAGTGTTTAGGATTTTCTAATGATAGAAACCATAGAGCACGTTTGGTCAGTGTCTTAAGTAATTACTCCCTCCCCCCCTGCCCCAAGATAGGGACACAAAAGCAAGAACTGGGTGTTTTACTCATTTTTATACCTCACTGTTGCAATAATTTTAAGTTGTCCCTTTCTTTAAATTTTACCGTGAATCAATGAGTGTTATACACCAAATTTAGCTTTTTTTAAAGCTCAACAAAAACCCTCTAATGAAGACTTTTTCTCAAAGACAAAGGAGCATCAGCTGCCACAGAGCACTTTTTAAAGTCACTTTAACTGTGGGTGGAGGGCTCTTCTGACTGTGCAGTAGCTGCTTCACTGTGTCGAGACAGTGATGTTTTAAGGATCCCATTGCTGCTTTGGCTTTCCAAAGAAGGTAAATTAGCAGAACTTGCACTCAAAGAAGCCTTCTTAATGATAAGCAGGAGTTTGGGTTTTTTTAATTGAATGATTCTTGATGGACTGCTTAATGTGTAACTGGTTCTGCTGTATTGGCAGTGGTGAAACAGTGTTTGCAGGCAGACCAGGAATGGTTGGGCATCATACTCTAAACAAGTGTACTATGTAAAATGGATCGAACAATGGACTGTATTGCCCTTTCTCCATTAAGAAAGAACATGACCTCTATGTGTTTTCTCTTAAAAAAATTGTTTGAATACAGAAAAGCATTGTTTAGCTACAAAAGGGTAAGTTAACAAAATAAAACATTTTTAAGAAAGCTGTGTATTTATTCATGCTTGCTAGCCCAACTGTTGCGTGGGGCATGGCTAAGGAGGGGGTATGCTGTCACACCATAATTTAACTACACCTTGCTCTCTGCAGCAAGCAGAGCAGGACCAGAGTGAGCCATTGCCCTAGTGATCAGGTCAAACACCACTTGTCATGACAGGCTGCAGCATCATCCTGTCACAACAGCTGTACTCGCTCCATGACTAGTAAAAATTCGTAGCTTGAGCTTGTTCTGTATGAAGTCAGAGATCAGTAAGCACACAATAACAAAATTCAAAACATAAGCTCTTGGGGTAGAACTCTTAGCTGTGCCTGATAGAACAAAATACAACTATTTTCACTTGCTTATACAGTCCAGGCCTGCTGGCTGGCCAGGACTAGAAACAACCCGTTTACTGCCTGAGCCAAGGACTCGAGCGCTATTCACAGCTATTCTGCCTAGAAAACTCCCACCTAAACCAGAAGTGTATTAACATAAAGCATGGATTTATCTGTTATTAGGGAACAAAGAAAGATGCAAAACTGTCATAGGAAAGACAAAGTGTTTACTCGTGAGCTCTTTTTCCTTATAGCAGCAATCTGAATTACTGACAAGCTTCAGAGCAGCTTAAAGAGGACAAGTCAAATCCTGTACTCTTCTGTTCCACCCCCAGCCAAGCTAGACCTTGCCATCCAAAACAAGCTGTTTCTAATAAACATTTATGACATATTGGAAGCACTTTGTCAGACTATCCTAGACTGAACTCCCAATGTCATGCCTCTAGCAACAATACAAAATTCTAGGCTTTGTGAAAATTAGACTTCAAAGCTGAAGTTCCAGGTTCTCTGCTCTACCCTGTATTTGGTGGGAATGTAAAAAATGTAAAAATGGTAGGTGTGTATGTCTGTACATACCTGCTGTGAGGTTACAGTCACAGATGGATGACTTAGTGAAAAAAAATCAGATCCACAGATTGTCATTGCTGGTGTCTAAATTAGTGCTTACAAATAAATCTGCTGTTTTTCTGAAATTGAGATGACAGGTATTTGTCAAGCACAGTGAAATCAGTAAGATTCAGTAATACATGGTCTGTGGGGTTGGTTTGGTTTGGGTCTTCTGTTTCTGGTTTTGTTTTGGTGGTTTTTGTTTTTTTTTAAATAAAGCAAATTATGTGCTGTATGTAACACAAAAAGCTCACACTGTTCTTCAAAGTCTAAAGAAGTTTGCTAGTGAACAGGTATAAAAAAAGTGAATTTTATTACATGTAGTTTAGATTTATACAACACTTAAATGCAAACGCCCCACTTTCAGAACAGTGTATCCCTTCCCCTCCAAGGGAACCAATGTAATCTGAAGTCACCAAAGAGGGAATTTTTTCCATTAACCATTATAAATATTGCTTGAACAGATTACACAAAGTACACGTTACAACTTACATTACGGTATACCCAAATATAGAGATTTACTTCCAATTAGATTTGCTAGTTACCCCTTTCTTCCAAGTCACTTGCATAGGCTTTGAGGATACATTATTTTTGCACAGTTTTCTAAGCACCAAATACGCTTGGTTAATTACACACAGCAAATGGCAAACTCATTCACAATCATGCAAATGCAGTAAGAGATATCCATGCCATTTGCTTCTCTATAGTCCCAGGGAGTTAATGATTTAAGTGACATCATTCAGTGGCTCAGGTCCAGACTATTCTCCAACCCCAAAAAGTAAACTGAAAGTATTAACAGGTGGTGCTAGAACCAAGATTTCCTAGGCTAAAAAGGTAAGTCCTTAACACCAGCTGGCATCCTTTGCACACTGCAGAGTTTCCTTTCTCCGTCTGAAATCTTGAGCTGGTTCCACCATCCAGGTTTGCTAAATGCAAGTGAATATTTTGCTTGATGTTTTACAACAGTTCACTCCTGAGCACAGAAAACATTTGTTTTCACTGTGGCCTTTCACATCTTCTGGTACAAGAGACCAGGTAACACTCGCTTTTACCCACACAGTTATGACATCCTGTTACAACTGCAAAAAACCCTACAAACACCCGTGACTTACAGCCTCATTTCAGTTCTTAAAGGCTCCACATTTACTGGCTTTAGCAATGAATTCCTTTAGCAGGGGACCATCCATTTGCCAAAATGCTGTAGTTTGTGTCACTTCCGTCAAATGATTGACACAAAACTTAAAGCAGAATTCCTCTAAGTCCTAAACAGAAAAAAAAAAAAGAAAAAATGTTATTATCTTTGCTGCCATCACAGAAAATCACATTCAGGCACAAATGCCTGTATATGCTTTATTTTTCGCAGAGAATTAGACAAACACGTTAACCCAGTGGCTCTCGTTGTTCTTCCCCACACAGTCACTATGTAAATGCAACAGAAAATAGCAATTCTAGGGAAAAGTAACTATAATTTGGTTCTCACTACATAGCTGCAGTCACAAAAATCAGCTATTCTGAGCAATATATATTTTAAAGGTTTCCCCACTTGAAGAGTTTCATCTGCATTCACCAACAGCTATTAAAACCCAATACAAATAGGAGATCTTGGGGTAATGACACATAATCAAGACTGTGGATTAAGAAAATTCAGCTCTTTTGTTCCATAACATAAACTCAAATCTATACATAAGGTTGCTTGACTTCCTGCTTAGTTAAGGGCTTAACTAAAGCCTAGAAGTTGCATGTCACCAGGCTCAATGCAAGTATACACTAACTGGATAGTTTTAAAGCACAGTTTAGGCAGAAGGCCTTTCTGTGTATTAGAAACAGACTTGTGTTAAAAAGTATTTCACAGATGTCCCAAAAATGATTCAAAAGAAGTACTGTAGCACAATACAGCATAGCAATTCTTGCAGAAAGTGGGCTCTGGATATTTGAGTCTATGGGGAAGCGCCTTCCATATAAGGATTAGAAAAGCCTCACAGACAACCATCATTACACCCACATGATGTCAGAAAGAAAGGATGTCTTAAAAAAACAAACAAACAAACAAACAAACAAGAGACAGTTGTTGTCAATATAAGGCTGACCACAGAACGCTTCCCACTCAGATTATTTGTTTCCAACTCCTGTTTTGAGGAGGAAATCTACTCTTCGTGGTGCAGACCTAAGCTGCTCTAAGAAGGATGCTGCAGCCCTTACAAAACAGCAACTCCCCGCCCTGTTCTAATTTCTTTATTGTGGTACAAGTTTGTAGAACTAGTGCTTCATAGGTGAGAACACACCCTTCCTTAGCTGCTCAGCAGACTGGGCGCTGCAGTAAGGCGTAACAAATTTGCAGAGCTCTTTGAGCCACATCAGGTATGAAAGAGTGATTAATAATCATGTTTTCACTTAAGGTCAATATTAAAAGCTAGAGCAACTGTGTGCCAGTGAGAGTTCTTGACACAACAACAATATAAAAATATATCCTGGCCTAAAACCAGGCATTCTGAAGCTGCAGATCTTGACTTGTGTGGCATCTGTGCAACGAAAAAAGACAAGCTTATTAGAACTGAATACTGAGGGTTTTCTTTTTTTTAAACAACAGAATGAACTAGCATTTTAAACAAAATTACATCGTACACATTACAATATTTTGCACTGCTTTATTAAAAAAAAAATCATATTCCAAGTCAATGCAACACAAGCATACAATAAACAGAAATACTGTAGCATTAGTAAGTAACTTCAGAAAATTTAAAGTTCTGTATAAAAAAAGGCTGAATTTCATTTGCAGATGGATGCACTCCCAGCAAACGGTAGTTAATATAGACTTAAGTAAATAAAGGCACAAGGTACATCCAATGATTACTTTAAAAGCTACAATAAGAAGCCAGACCTGACCTAGTTCTAGCCACTTTAATTCAATCAATCACCAAATGAAAGACAATGTAAGGAAGTTTCATGTCATGGAGGTATTTTAAGTTAGTGAAGCAGCTTCTTTTAACTGCTCTCTTCCAGATGCACAGTCCCTTGAATGAACTACATCACCCAAGCAATTTCAAGCCCCCATCTAGCATCACTGCATGTAAAAACCACTTTTTACTAAAAACCAACCCCTCAGTGTCACCCATTCTCTCCTTGATATAGCACTTAAGCCTATGGTTCTAACTTCATTTAGCTAGTGAGGTACAGCCAAGGCATAGTAACTGGATTTCTTCTACCCTTTACAACTGGAATCACTCACATACTGAAGACCCATCCTGCAAAAAATTTTTTAAGGCTAAAACATGGAAATCTTTCTATTTTCCATGAACTCCTACCAAAGAAATCGTTATTCACAGTAGAGCTGAAGCCACAATTCAGACACTAAACCAGTCCTTTGGGTAAGGTATTTCAAACAAGCCACGCACTACAAGGCTCTGAAATAAGTTAGGGCATCTGCATGCCAGTTGCTGGATATTAAGCACAAGAAAAAACAATGAGTTGATTTACCGAGTACCAAAACTGCTTTATAAGCATAAGTAGCAAGTTAAAAACTAACCAATCGCAAAGTTGCAAACATGATGCACAAATATTATGCTGAACACTAATAGCCAAAGCAAGCCCAGGAATACTTCCTGATTAGTTCAAGAAGCAGCATGTTAATGATCCAGTAGTGAAATCAGACATTATGCAGTAGGGAGGTTTCGCTAGCCTTCCGCCCTTTTCATTCCCCCCATTACACTGTTTCTCTGTCTTCAAAATTTATTAGGCCCATAAAGCAGTTCTTATCCTGGCATTTCATTAGCATACTGTGAAGACTGAAAGTGCATTTGATTGTAGCTAAGCAAAACAAAAAAAAAGCGCCAACAAAAAAACACTTCACCAACCAAAAGAAAAAAAACCCCAGTGTACTCAATCCGCAAACCTACCACCATATGACATCACACACACCACACAACCTTATAAATAAGTAACTTAAGGCTTACAAGACTGCTTTTCGTAATGTTATGGTTTTTGCTTTGTATTTAAACCCTTCCCTTGTTTCCGAGTTCGTATTTTCATCCTCAGAAATTTTTTGTTAGGTTTTTTTTTTCCCCCACAGAAATACTAATTCATGAAGCTTGGCACAGCTTCATAACCTTTTACCATGAAATTAAGCAATGCAAACATTTACAGATACTAAGTCTCAGCCTGGGACTTAACTCATCTTTAGATACCTTGTGTACTAGTTCACCTTCCCAGCACTGGTTTACGGGAGAAAGAAGGGGGGGGAGGGGGGAGATACATCTCTCATAGTAAATACAGTTTTTGTAATTCCAACATTCTCAAATTCTGAAAATGGCAAATAGTATTATCTGATAGTAAGTGAGAGAGTTTATATGAAAATATAACTGGCTGCTTTTCTCCACAGTTTAAGTCAGACAGCAGCCACCTATTTAAGAGATTGAAGTTTAGAAGTTTACCTCTGCATCATATCTGACAGCAGCAGAGAGCAATGAAAATGCATTTTCCACAGTAATTCCTCTCTTGATAATGTGTTGACACAGTTTTTTCAGTCTATTTTCACAGTACGAAGTAGCCAAATCCAAAAGCCCTGCAATTAAAATGCCATCGTATTAGTCACTTGTAATGATCTTTGCTCTTTCAACAACAGTTCATGCTCCTGGGGTACAGGTTGCATCTGTATTCTGTATGCAATGTTCTATATGTCTACAACATGCTTTTTGCAAGTAGGTCACTATTCAGAAAAATGTATTTTACCATTACACAGGAAGAAAGCCCTTTTAGTACCTCATGTTGCAATCCCGTTAATCTCTGTAAATACGCAAGCTGTTCCACTGAATTGCATACCTAACTGCTTGCGAGAGGAACTGTCACAAAACAGGCACCACAACACAAGCAAAAAGCTACCATTATAAAAATCTGCGCTTGAATTACAGCTTACTCTTTGCTCTGCTGTCCAAGTTTCCCTATTAGATCTACTGAGATTCTTTCATATTATCCTAAACAATAATTGACTCAATTTAGTAAAACATGCAAGTATTTTAACCCAGATAAATAGTTTCTCTCCCAACCTTGAGAAAACTGCTCATAGTTTATTTCTAAATATGCACCATTTTTGCTGTAGTAAGTTTGCTACAACGGTATTTTAAAGACAGCTTAATTAATCACCAGTAAAATGCACTATAGGCTAGACTAGAAGCCTATCTTAATACATTTATTCTGCACCCCCCGTCTCAGTTTTTCTGGATGTTGCTTTCTAACATAATTGGACCATGAGCAATACCTATTGCATCTTCAGGTGGAAGGTCAACACTGTCTGTATACAAGTACTCAAGAAAGGCACGATACACAGGATAAGAAAACTGGTCTATTTCTATCACTTCCTTCATATCCTCATTCCAGTATGACTGGAACATGGTTCTGAAGTGTTCACACCTAAGAGACAAAGACATCATCTGGACACTATTATATATACACGTGAACGTTACATTACAGTCCCCCTGAAATACGTATTTGGGGCACTCTGCAATATTCACAAATATTTTACCATACCCCATCACAGCCAGTGGTCCACATTTTGGTTCCTAATACTGTGGGCATTGTTATATTTGTGCATCAAGATAAAAGTCTTATTTGATCTGTGCTACAGAAACATCTGTGTATACACTGCAATCAGACCAACTTAACAGAATTTATTATCCTGGGAACAACAAATAGGCTTAGTGAAAACTGAATATGGACCATTTTAAGACAGAGTTGAATATGGACCATTTTAAAACAGAGTTTTGATTCAACTCCTTTTACAATCACTTCATTTAAAGTGATTATGGATACATAGATGCTATGTATTACAGGTTTAGGGGTCCCTCCCTACCCCTTATTTTTTTCCCCCCTTAGATGCAATACTAAGAGGTTATTCTGTATAAACAAGAGCTATGAAACATGACCACTACCTGATTTTCAGAACAGCTTTGTGGACATGAATGTACTTTCCATCCACACGGAATTTTAGGTCTGAGGTTTCTGGGCTGTCAAACTCTTTCTTCAGAGACTCTGCTACTGTTAAAAAGTCTTCATGCTCTACAGAAACAATTTTAAAACAAACAAAAAAACAATGTTAAGCATCTTAAACAGCACAGGCACAACACTAACTAAAGCTAGCAGCTCAACTAAGAGCATGTCAAGAAAAATAGGTCAGTATCAGGGCTCCATTAGCTTACGTGATGAATGGGAAGAATTAATTAATCCAATACCATTTCCTGTTGGCAAGGACTGCTCCACAACAGCTACAGGCAGCAGTTGTCAGCAGCTCCCATTCCAGCTCATTGCACAGAGGTAACACAGCACCAAAGAAAGTACCTGGAGGACTTCCTTTCTCATTCTCCGCCTGGGCACCACCCATGAAATTGCCAGCCTCCTGGCAGCTCAGTGCTAGTGCTGGGTCAGCTCAGCTCTGCAAACTGCAAACTAGTCTCTGCGGCTAACCTGCAAACTGCTGGTAAAGGGAATCTACAGCATCACCCGCAACTCACTCGAGACGTGGTGTACAGTACTTCAGCTGCACTGACACGGTGTGATCTGAGCCTGAACAGTAAGAAAACATGTCACCAGTTGGCCACTTTTTTGTGCTGGCAGATTGGATATAGCCTGCAAGTCGTCTGTTAAGGTCTTTGCCAGGGCTCACTAACATGAACTATCACTGACACCATTATACTCAGTTTATTAGTCAGTTATGACAACACAAAACCCAATAGCAGTGCTGCTGCAGAAAACAGCCTGTACCAAGAACACAGTATCTACTATCAAGGACACAGGACTTCAGCAACTCTGGAAGTGGATTAAAGCTGAGACATCACAGCTCTTTGACAGTTCTTTATATTAAGGCCTATGGCACTGGTCCCACAGAGGTCCCATTCTGTGTCTCTAGAAACCATACAAGAGTTGCAGCACAAGCTGGCTAAGGCTTGTGGTAAAGCAAGAACTCCGAAGTTCTAGAAAACCTGATTTAACCCACTATATGAAGCTTCTGTTGATGCATCTTAAAAGCGTGTTTCAAAACACATGGCTTCTAAGAAGCAAAGTATGGAGAAGAAAAATAAGTGGATTTGCACTACAATAGGATGTGGCCTGACTCCTGTGTCTCATAGGACTGCATATTGTTCATCCATACACAATCCACAAGCTACTCTTCACCATTAGGGACAGCTAAATTAGTTGGTATTTAAAAAGCAATACTGCTATAACAAACTGCTGTAACAGACAAGTCATGTTTGTGCCACAAAAGACCATACACTCCTCCGATTCACATGGATCATCCACAGAACCTGCACCTGAGGGCTAACTAATCCATGCTCCGATCCTCCTCCATTTGCTGATGTGATTTTTTTCTAGGTCATCAGCTTAGCTTAAGCTATGCAGTAGATCAACTTTCACTCTAAATACCTTAAGTGCATTCCTCAAAAAAGGCTGCAGACTTGTACTTCACCACAGCCAATCCTGAGTGACTGATTCATTTTTTTGGCAGAGCCATCATAACTGGAAGTAGAACAATAACCTTTATGCAGAGTTAGCTCTCACTAAGAAAAAGAAACAAAAAACATAAAAAGAAAAAAAGGGGTTTTTTTAACCTATGTGAACAAAAAAGGTGGGAAGGAAAAAATGCATATGGAAAACGGAGATTAAAAATGCCCCCAGAATTAATGCTTTTGATTTAAATATTCAGTAAGTAGGATTATCAGAATAAGAGGGGAAGAACCCCCAAAGGCTAAGAGGAATTAAAATGCAGGTACAAAATTCAAATACCTTGTTATACTCAGTCTGGGAATACTTCATAAAAATCAGGAACTTGAAAGGTACTGAAACTGGGCAGATGTCATTTAAACAGCCTTCACTATCAGCAAAAGGCAACAGACCTGGACAACCACCAGACCTCTACAGAGGGCAAGACACACATACCGCAGAGGATTAGAGAACGGAGAAAGTGAGAAGTGGGATAAAACAAGACTTGGATTTACCCAGAAGCCGATCACTCCAAGCTAATCTTCTCTCTCTTTAGTAAAACTATTCCGTTTTCCTCTATAGACAAGATGCTGTTATCTGGACCTTTATAAATGTGATAACATGCTAAATGAGAAGATGGAGAAGCTGGGTTACGACAAGCCACGTGCAAAGATAAAGTTTGAGTCTGAAGAAGGGTTACTTAGGATGCGATCCCTCCACAAAACCAATTTTGTACAGGGACTAACAAATTTAGGATTTGTTGTCAATATGAATACAGATTAGATCTCCTAAATGATCTTGAGAACTGAAGCTGCAGATCTAAAATGAAAACATCTTCATGTTTTGAACATGAAAGAACCTTCATGTCTTAAAAGAAGTGCAAGCTAAGTGCAAGCTAAGCACTTTATAGCATATTTGGGGTCAAATAAGAATTAGCAGCGTGTGAATCAGAGATAATCAAGAAGAAGGGCTTGGGCTTATCAGTTGGTCACAGAGACTGCATCCCAAAGTGTAATCCAAGCAGTATAAGAAAAGAGTTCCAACAGAGAAAACAACTATATTAGGGTCTTGTTGAACAGGGACTATTATTTACAAGTCTGCCTGTCTTTGGGGAAAGTCAAACTAAATCGAGTTGAGAGAAATCATCTCACAAAATTAAAACTTGGAATTCTGTTACTTTACATTCCTAACATGAAACATAGGAGAAAGATTTGCTCCTTCATATTCATATCGGAAGGGTAAATACTAAAGGAGGGAAAGCTAGAGACAACACTTATAATTCCAAGTTGTTAGATACCAAAGTAACAAGCGTCAGGAACAGTCTTCCAAGTAGGAATAGTTGTAAGAGAAAAAAAGTTATGTTTAATGATCTAAGAGTCCTTCCCAGCTGGAGCTCAAACAGTACAAATGTAGGAAATACACAATATTCACAGTGCAATGGTAAAACAGGGTTCTCTCCAGATGTATACTGGCAAACAAACAATCTTGTTAACCCTGTTCTGGATACTTAGCTGCTGAAGTAGACTGTTTTCTTCAGAAGAAAAAAACCTAGCTAAAACAGCTAATTTTAATTGCCGGTTCTACTTAAAGCAGGAACCATCCTGCCACGGAAGTGGTATCCTGTACTAATCACTACAAATGTACACAGAGATTATAGTACTGGCTGTCATATCGGAGCTTGTTCTCACCTACTGATAGAAGACGCCACATAACGGCAGGGGTAGCAAAGCAAGCAAACACATCGTCAGTGCAGGCAAAGTGAGTGAGGTGGGGAAGGATCACTGACTGCCCACGGCATTGGCCCCACATGTACACCTGGCCGCTCTGGGTCTTGGCAGCCGACGTGTGAGCAGAGTGGCAGGCTGCAATCTCCACAACCCTGTAAACAGAAGAAACCTTGTAAGATACTTACAGGTACGGAATCAAGTAACTTTCCAGATGCCTCATCAAAATAACAGCCAACCAAACTATGCATCTACACTCCTGTACTTTCTTTGTCCTGCATGAAAATGATACTGTTTGAATGGATCAATATTTAAAAACTGCAATGATATTTTCAGATTGCTTGTAGATTTTATTGTAATCAGATATTGCTTTAATTATGTCATTCTCATCAGTTGACATTCCTCCTTTTCTTCCATAACCATGGGAAAGGGATGAAGCAAAACAAAGTTTTGTTTTTCCCCTTTAAAACCAATGCACATCAGACACTTGCTCCCAAGAAGAAATGCTTACAGAGCTTATGAAACTTCCAGTTAGGGAACAGACAGGAAAGCTATACTACTAAGACTTTTGCAGAGCGTTTTTCAGAACTTCTTTCAAACAGATGTTGTAAAAATTCTCTCATTTTGAGATTTAGATCCTACGTATTTTTCAATAAAGCCTTTATTAAGAAACCCTTCTACCCCACCTTTAATCTGTTTTTTTGTATGTAGACAGAGATCTGACCTACTGCCTGTATTTCTGACTTCTTATTTTGCTGTTAGTTTCCTTTCCTCAACACTGAGACTCAGCATAGAACATGGATAATGCTTCACTTGAGGAGAGGTGAATACACGCACTTAACTCCACATTCTTGAAGATGGCTGTTTTTAAAATAAAGTCTGTATAGTATTTTCACCTACCTCACATACTTCCTTAAAATATTAGAGCTGCTGATGCATACGTATCTATCATGTTCTCCCATTGCTCACGCAATCCCTATCTTGCTATCTGAAACATTACAAGAACTGAGAATAATCGCCCTTCCATTAAAAGGACCACAAGGATGTTGCCAGTGTCGCTGTTCACATAAGCAAAAACCAGGGGAAGTTCCAGCATTAGTTCAAAATCAAAGCTACGCTTTCCTGTTTTTCTCCATGCTAAAAATGCATCAGAGGATTTCATGCTTTTGTGCCAGAAACAGATCAACTGGGACAAATAAAGGTCTTTCCGAGCAGTCTAAGAATATATGTATCAAAATGTTTATTCCTTTACAGAACAATATCCATGAAGAGTTAGCTTTTTAGGCAAAAAGCTTTTTTAGCACAAAGCCCACATTTTAAGTGCAAAAATTATTTCAAGATAAAACACAGAAAGAATCTACAATCACTTTCAGTATATGTATCGATAACTTCTGGCAGATAAAAGACTAACGAGTTGTTTTACACCATTACCAACTTATGAACCTCTATGCCACATTGAGATCTTTCAGTACCTCTGCATGAGACATCATAAAGTAATTATTTTAGAGACAACTTATTGTCCATCGTAACTATCCACCTAAACTACCCCCTTCCCCAAACATTCTTTCCTTAGCAGAACAGATTCTTATTTTTACAGTAACTATACTATACTTAAGAAGCATAGTAGAACATGTACTATAACACATGTATAGTACATGTACAGTATACTTAGAGTACATGTACAGGATAACATGTTAAAGATATACTTAACATCAAAATTCAGGAAGCTGACCTTCATAACTATTCTTCCAAACTAACACAAAATAAAGTCTAGAAGTTCCTTACAAGCTGTATGTGCAATATTCTTCAAGACAGCATCAAATGCCACCTCCTAAGGAACTGTCACCAGCATTACATATAAATGTAAGTTATATAAATGAAAGGACCAGGAAAAGCAGCATTAATATGCTTCATGGGAAATGACAGCTCACCCACTTAAAGCACTGTTTCCAAGGGAGCGAAGTCAAGCAGGATGAGTAAGTTCAAGTGACTTATCTCTCCCTCAGATTCCAAGCAGAAGTTCTATGATATTTTCTCCCTCCTCTGGTCATTGAACAAATGCCAGTTTTATTATAATCCCATGCTTGAGTTCATATACAATTCTAAATGCAACAGTTTCTCTTAGTTCACTCAAGAAATAAATCGCTAAGAAAACAAAGTTGATCTATTTGCAAACATACACATTTCTCTTGTAGTACTTTTTAAAAGAATATTTCATTTTGCTTCGCCAGTGTCAGTTCCTTCACGGACAAGCCAGCCTCACCTCAGTGGTTTCTATTGTGATCATTCCTTTCTTCTTTCCCCCCACCCATTTTTTAAGCTCTTAAATAATTTCAGTACTGTGCAGCTTTTAATTTAACGTTAAGTGTGAGAAACAGGAAAAAATAGGAATGACTTCCCAGAAAGACAGTTCAGAAGTGGAGGAGAAAAACCAACCACAAGTGTAATCTCCTCTTAACTAGGAAACAAGTTAAGAGATTTACAGGTTAAGGGATTTATAGACTAAGAGGTTTCCAAACTGAGATACATTAATCTATAGGTAAACACATGGGTCCAGAGAATGGGACTGAGGTCCAAGTTTGTAGGTGAGCAGCAGAAAAGCCATCCCAAATATGAGGATGACAAAAGTGCTGAAAGAGGGTGGACAAGGGTTAGGGTTATGCTTTTATGAGTTTAGGAAACTAAGAAACTACAAACTACTGACTGGTACGACTGATAAAAGTAGTATTATCTGCCCTTACCTCCAGTAACCTTGCAAACTGAGTTCTGTTTTCATGGTTCACTATCGTCAGCCTTTCAGAAAATTGTTTTTTCCTCACATGTCACTTCTTACAAAGGTGGCCCTTCCTTCCTCCCTCTTTTTTTTTTTTTTTTAAATTTTTTAAATGTAGGCCTCAATACAGCTTAAAAGCTTGGCTTATTGATTTCATAGCTCCAAATTTTTAATCAAAGGAACCATGTTTAGAATAGCCTAACACTTAGTCATTCATTATCTTTCAGTATCAGGTAAATACAAAGTATGTTTACTTTCAATAATCATTACAGTTAGCAAAAAGCACTCAGTCAAAAGTAAACAGTAAGTTACCATCCTTTCCTATGCTTTTAACATTAGCAATAGAAAAAACAATCCACCAAGCCCTAAACATGCATGCTTCCAGTGCTAGCGACTGCATAACACATGCTTAGACTTATCAACCCAGAAACAGCTTCAGCAAGATTACCTTTCTTTTTCCATCATGATCTGCACCGGGCTTAGCTGGTTACTTTTATTGCCAGTTCCCAGCTGCCCGTAAGTGTTAGCTCCCCAGGCATACAGCAAACCCTCATCTGTTAGTGCTAGTGTGTGCGCATAGCCACAGGCAATCTGTAAGTAAATGTATAAGCATTACTACTAAACAAAACAGAGGAGAAACAAAATTATTGCACACATTACCTTAGTCTAGCTGATGTTAAATATCTCAGGCATTCTTCATTTAGCACTACAATGTGTTATTTCTCAGTACTTAAAGCTAACACAAAATACATTAACTGTAAGTACTGGAAAAGTCCCAATTTCATTAATTTAGTGTTCATTGGTTACTCCTAAATGATTTACTGCACTCTTGCAAAGTCTCCCTAGCATTTACTTGCTTTCAGTTGCAGACTCTTCACATGAGGAACAGCGAACTTCATCATCACGTCTTGCAATTCTGAAATACTTTGAGAATTTGATATTTTGAATACTATACAAACTATGAGAGCTGCAGTTCAACAGCCAACAACCGTTCAACCCAAGTTATCACAAGAAACTCCACAGAACCTTACTAAAAAACCTAGGAAATCCCAATTTTCAGTTTCATTCTTTAGCTGGGGAAAAAAGAAACCAAAACCACCACCAAACAACCAAACCCACACCCATGAGACTTGTTTTCCCTCTCCCCTCACTTCTGAAGGGCTAATTAGAAAATTAATGTAGAATCTAATTTGAACATCTTGGTTTTCTTGTTCCCCTTCATTTCTTGTCTTTGCCTAGTGCATTCATTAATTCAGCTTTGTAAACAAAGATGCAATTTGTATCCATAGCATAATTTACTTATAGTTACACTAGCTAACTTTAAATCATTCCAAACATTTACAAAACCAAGTATTTTACAGCTTACTTGCACTTTTTATAAACCTTATATAATTTATAGGAGCTAAAAAAAAAAATTAAAAAAAAAAAATCAGTATTTGAACTGTGAAATCTAGGTGTAAGATTCCAAAGATACAGTTTTATCAGATGCAAGCAACATGAATGCATTTTCATTTCCATGTTAGACATACCTGGAGTATACACACACCATGTAATGCTGCCACTCTGCATGGCGTTAGTTGATTGCCATTGTTTCCAAGACCTAGCTGACCATTACCATTGTAACCCCAGCCATAAACCTGATTGCAAAAGGAAAACAAAATTAAGCCATTCCTCTGTAGAAGTATAGAACATTTAAGACTTAGTATCAAGCTCAAGTCAAAAAAGTACATCTTCTTAAAAAACTGTACATTATTTCAAGAGCAATATAGAGAAGGCCGAAAGATATTAAATATACTACAATGTCTGACTGTATTCAACTTTTCAATCCTGCATTTATCTTTTAAAGAAGCTTTCTAAAATATATTTGTCTTTGAAGTACTAGGAATTTTGCAGTAAACTTAAAATACACAAAAATCTCTCCCATAACGTCAACATTTTAGTTGACTTTTACACCTTCCCTTCTCCTTATTACTTTTTCTTTTTTTAAAGAAAACAAGAAATGAGTTATTCTGATCAGCTGATTAGCTATTGGATTAGTTTAAACCGAAGTCCCCAGTTTAGCTCTAATTTTTCCTTTTTTTTGTTATAGTGGACACATCAAGACAAAAGTATATACAATAAAAGCCCATCTCAACCTCAAATGCTACTCTCTGAGTTTGGTGAAATGTAGTAAAATTGAGGTTACAGTTCATACCTAGAAGCAAGATAGCACCATAAACTTATGTGAAATGGAACAGTTGCACAATACTAGGGCAATGTTCAAAAGCTTGGTTTGGTTTTGTGGCTGGCAATCAAGCAATGTGTTTAAGAACCAGGATCAGTGTATTCTTGCAGAAAGATTGACTATTTAATTGTGCACGCTTTCAAAAATCTAATTAAGACATATGTTAAACAATCTATTGAAATAAGGAAGACAGACATGCTTAATACAACTGTTCAAATTCTTGCAGTTGCAGACTGAGTAAGAATTATGTTTCAATACTGTCTTTGCCATAAGAAGGAATGTTTAGTGTAAAGACAACATCTCCAGTTAATTGCAGAGTTTTCCTTAAACTGGTCTCACAGAAGTTATCAATATAACTCTATGCAACTCTATAAATATAACTCTATAACTCCAGCACTCCATGTCAGCATTTCTCCATGTTCAGACATTAACCTTGTAAGTTTGGGTAACAGAGAACGTGAGAATGCAGCAATGCTTACCTCACCATTGTTTACTACAGCCATGGAGGAGGTCTGACCACAAGCAATGCCAACTACCATTTTACCCTGTAAACAGTTTGAAACTCTGCGAGGAGTTGGCTGGTTTGCTGTAGATCCAGATCCAACTTGACCACAGTTATTATAGCCCCAAGCGTACAGCTATCCATAAAAACAAACAAACAAAAAACTGCAGTTTAAGCCTTAATAATAGTAATGATGGTAATAAATTATAAATTACTATAGTCAGCATCAGATTGGGTAAACTATCCTATTTAATGAGCTAAAATGCTTTAAATTAATTTTCAACAGCTGAAAATTATAAACAGCAATAGGACTTATCTAGCAAATATGAACATAGCACTTTTTTCAGCTTCCTGCTACAGAACCGGAGCATCTGACTACAAGAAGAAACAAAATGAACATATTTCCATATTAAATATAAGTCAGACTATAAGACAAAGAGCATAGTGAGTGGACTGTCTTTATACTTTCATGATGTTGGAAAAAGGAGTGCAAGCCAGAATGTTACTTGTTTCCCAGACAAGCTGAACTCCCCAATTTACAGCTATTTAGTTTTCTTTATAGAACTCTAAACCAGGTTATTGCTGGACACTCATAATACATCTTTTATATCTTTCGAGAGCTGTGAAAGGAGATGGTTTTGTCAGCCTATGTTTCATGGTAGCAAAACTCTGTTACACAATGGCATTAACAAAAAAAGCACCATCTCTGACAGTTCAAAGTTTGCCAGTGGCAAACTAATAATAATAAAACCAGAAATATTAGTTCCTTTAATCTAAAAGCCCAGAAGACAGGGAAGCAGTTTGCTATAAAAAAATATTTACAGCTTTGTATTTTCAGTTCCTTCTATTTTTATTATGTGCATATAAACCCATAGCTTGGCATAAAACTATTTCTGATAGTTCATCCTCTGGTGCTTCACCCCGTTAAAAAGTTTGTCCTCTTGGAAATACCCAGCCACAGACATGCTAGTCAGTAAAAGCACACTGACAGAGATACCCTAATGTGAAGCCTGCACATCCTTTGGTGCCAGAAGCTGTCTGTTTACAGCAACATCAAACCAAAAGTCAGTCATTAGAAACAAACACCTCCCCCGCCACCAAAAAAAACCCTCAACCCCAAAAAACCAAAACACACCACCAAAAAAAAAACCCACCAAAGACAAGAACAAAAAACTTCCCACCAACACAACTCATTTACCGTGTCTAATATGAACAAAAGAAAGCATTAGTCTTTTGCGTTTTGTTACTTGTATTTGCTGGATCTTTGCTTCCTACGGAATATTTAAAGATGCTCTATAAAATATCTTAATTTCAATAACACGGAAACAAATAAAGGTAGAGAATCTCAGAAGGTAGATCAAAATGCCAAAGAGCTAATCAGTTTCCTTCCTCAGAGAAGCACGAATGTCTGCCATCCTTTACCATTGTTACCTTTTTTTTTTAAATTTGCACTGCATTAAAATTGCACTGAAACAACTGTATAAATCAATTATGCCAAGTATTTCCATGAATACTTCCAACTTCAATGCCCTCTGAAACTCCAGATATATCAAGTCACAACGGTTTTTGCAGCCAAATCTTTCTGTAAATAAAACTCTACTTAACACATTTCGCTGCTTTCAGTATAATCAATTCTGGTGCAGATAAAACCTCAGAGCACAAATAGACGAAGCTACTGCAAAGTATGCTAGGGATGGATTTATAGTACGTTAACTAGCCGCAATGGCAAGTGAGCTGCAAATATCAACTCCATGGTAAATACAAAGAAAATTCCCTGCTTCCATTGAGATTTCAAGCATGTTACATTTATTACAAGAGACAGCATGGTCGTCACAGGCAGCTACCACACAGTAGCTGGCACCACTAGTTTAACTAATATATGAACACCCTCGCCCTCCCGCATGTAAACCAAATTTTATAGATTAACCAAGTCAAAAATGACAGCATAAAGATCTCTCCTAAGTGTAGGCTCTCCTTTCAGATACAACACAGATCACGTAAATTAACCGAGTGTCTCTTTCCTACCCTCAAAATACTGATTTGCTATTTTCTATTACTGTCACACTATGACTCCATACTGAATCATAACAAAGACATGCTCAGATTACCAGGATGGAAAGAATTGTAGTTTCCATTTTCATTGTTAGGAAGGTTTTAAAATTAGACCTCTTCTTTTGTTAAGGCAGAGCTGAAACCAGGCTTTCCTCCATGCAGTAACACGCAACTTAAATCAGATACACACACACACAGGTCAAATCTGACTAACTGGAAACTAATTGTACGTTTCCCATGACACATAGCCTTAAGCCATGTCAACAAATAGCATAAAGGAGACTTGGATATAAACCAAGTGCTCTTTCATTAGCTACACACAAAGGTATTCAGAGGTGTGCAGAGCAACATTCTTTCACAGTACCAGTGTGGAAATCATGAAGGCTACAAGAAACAGACTAAAGGCTAACCAGTGAACACAAGCAACTCAATATACCCCTTAAATAACAGAATTGCAAGCAAATAACAACGTTATATTTTGCACCTTACAAACCATTCTTTCACTTGTAAGTGGCACAGCTTTCCGGTCTCATTCCTGTGAGACATACAACAAATGAAAAACACAAAAGTTTGCTATCCTTTTATTCCCTTGTTTTTGTGGTTGAGTTGGGTTTTTTTTTGTTGGGATTTGTAAGTGAGGGGTTTTTTGAGTTGTTTTCAAGTCTGCTCTGAAGAAAAGGACACCCTAGTTTGAGGCAGCCAGAGAAAAGGTTATGTTGTAACTACACTGTAGAGAAAGAGAGAACTTCAGACTGCAAGGTCACCTGCACTATTTACTTCAAGAAGGAGATTAAGAGGGTTGAACAGCTTTCAACTTACATCCCCATCAAACGACAGTGCCATGGAATGATGAGAGCCACAAGCTACTTCCACCACTTTCTTTATTAACAGATTTGTGCAAACTTGAACAGGAGTAATGCCCTGATTGGTTGTGCCATTTCCAAGCTGACTGTAACCATTATGTCCCCAAGCATACACTTCACCATCTGCAAAAATATTTAAGTTTGTGATAAAAAACACCAAAAATTTCAAGGAAGTTAAGATAAATAGAATTCTAAGAAATTAGCAAATGCCAACAGGAAAATGAAAGGACATTAACAAATAGTGAAACTATTACAAGAATCATCTGTATACTAAAAAATTATGTACTTTATATACAACTTTTATATACATATATCACAGTATAACCTCTAGATTTTTTGTGGAAATACATGAAAGTGCACAAGTAAGACTGTGTATGTCATAAATGACAGAGTAAAACTCTACAGTTGCAACATAATGGAAATGTAACAGAAACTTACTTTACCTATTACAGAATACATTAGTTCCACTTAAGACCAATGAGAATCCCTTAGAGTACATTAACCAATTAACAAGTTAATACAATTACACCTTAATCCATTCTAAATGCAAGTGGAACTTAAAATCTGTAACTTATACATACTAAATGTTAATTTTCTACCTTCAGTGCAAAGTACAACATGGGGTCCACTTCCATAACTGAGACTGGAAATCTTCTTTCCACATAAGGCTTCTAATTTCTTTGGTACTATTGTGCTCTGATTATCTCCAGTTCCCAAACAATTACTGCAATTCAGTCCAAAAACAAATACCTGAAAAACAGGGGAATACTCATTTCAAGTGATTCATATTCAGGTATGCACAGATGTAGTAATATCCAGGTGTTCACAAAGCCAGGACAGAGTTTTGCCATGGACTCTTGAGGGCCAGAGACTTCCTTCATGGAAGTTAACAAGCTCAAGAGTCAGCACGAGGACACTTTGGAAGTTAACTGATGAATCTGAATTCTTCAGACACGTGCAGGCCTGAAAGCTAGGCTTCTCATTTGCAGGAACTGTACTATAAAAAGTATTAAACTGTGAAAGCGGAAGACACCACCTCCTTTTAAAAGCAGTTTGTAAAGAGCAGCCACAGTTCTACTGTGAGAGGCTCATCCTAAAGGCATCTTTGATAGCACTTTGGGGGGGGGGGGGGGGGGGAGGGGGGCAGGCACAGAAATCCTACTCTACCCAGTCTTACAAGAAACCCTCCCATTAATACATCCCAGAACACCTGGCTTGTTTTCTTTCAGCAGCACAATGCTAACTCACATTGAGTTTCTGAATCATTAAAATCCACAGATAATCTTCTGCTGTATTGTTACTTAGCAAGCCATAACCTCATTTTATATCTTCATACCTGGAGTGCTTGCACTTAATTTCAAGCTACCACAACTTCTTTTGAATTCTGACTGTCTTCAGAAGTGCATTTAATCCACCCTGGCCTTTGTCATTTGTAAGTTTTCTAAATACTTCATCTATATTGCCCCCATACAAGACTAAAAAAACCCCCAAACTTACAAGTTACATCCAACATGTTTTGAAATATACAAATCTCACACAATGCTTTTGAGAAGCTATTAATTTACAAGTATTCAGTGGACTGTGAAAACAACTAATTGTAGAGTATATGTTCCACTTTATTACAGCCTTACCTCATCATTGTGCGTTATGTATATAGCTTCATTGGCTGATGTACCAAATACACACGCTTTCCGAATAGATGCTATTTCTTGAGGTGACAGTAAGGTAAATATTGGCCACTTGCCTACATCCACCATGATGCTGCTGTGTGTCATGATGTTTCTACAAGTAAGATGACATTGCTGTAATAAAACCAAAAGCTTATTAAAAGTGTATTTTGCACTTTCATCAACAGGCAATAAGATAATTTCCTTTAAATGAAAGAAAATATATGTGTTGTGTCTCTGAAAGTATAACATTCTATTCTATATGAAATACGTAATTATATTTTCATGTATTAAGGTGAACAAATAGCAAGTCACTAGTAGGACATTGGAAGAACAGATATTTTCTTAACAGGATATTTAAGCAAACTGTTGTTGTGGTTTAACCGGGCAGACAGCCAATCACCACACAGCCACTCACTCACTCCCCCCCTGCAGTGGGATGGGGGCGAGCATTGGCAAAAAAAAAGTAAAATTCGTGGATTGAGATAAAGACAGTTTAATAGAACAGAAAAGGAAGGGGAAATAATAATAATGATGATAGAATATACAAAATAAGTGATGCACAATACAATTGCTCATCACCCGCTAGCCGACGCCCAGCCAGTTCCCGAGCAGCAGTCACTGCTCCCCAGCCAACTCCCACCAGCTTATGTACTGAACATGACATCATATGGTATGGAATAC